TTGATAGAACGGTCCAGTCCCGATCATCCCCTATTCTCCCCGTTTTCTTCTCTCTATCGCGACTCAATCTGCCCTCAGGCCGTCGTCTCCCGAAGATTTCGCTGGAGTCTTCCGGGCGGAGGGGGTTGAGGCGAGGGTTGAGGCGGTCCGGGAGATACGTGGCACAGTTTACGCGTCCCACAGGATAGGGGACAACAGCGTACTTCCCGAGTGGTCGTCTGGCTACTTCACGCAGCGATGGACTTTAATCGCGGCCGCTCCGCTAGCTGGACCTAAGTCGCTGGATGTTTACCGAGTTCCGGGGAATCCCGTGATTGGTGTCCCGGGGAAGATCCCCTAGACGGAATGCCGGCGGAAGTTGCGACCGGACGCGTGATCGGTATAATAAGCAGGTCGTAATTGGACCGAACGACGGGGAAGGACGAGATAGCTGGTTTTGATGGTTGTATGTTTTGGGGATTCTTGGGTGATTGATTCTGATTGCTCTACCTTGCCACTTCGATGGGTTTGTTGAACTATGGATGGATGGTTGTGTTGATTGATGAGTGAAGGATTTATCAGAAGCTGTGCGGGAAGTCTTTGTTTTCTTGGTAAACACGATCGAGTGGCTAATGACTCAGTGAGGATTTTTGAGGGCTGAAGGTGAGTCTTCTTTTGGAAGACTTGATATTATCGGACACTGTGAACTCGCCGGTGCTGCATATGCATGAGGTTTTTATCTGGACTGATCTCACCGAGTGTGTTAAGTGAGATTCGATGTTTTTCGGCTACGAGGGTGCGAAGGGAAGGGTTGAGCGATGAGCTTCCGCGAGGAAATTCGAAGGAAAAACCGCGGATGAACGGGCGAGGATCCCATGATTAAGTCAGCCCGATCTGCATCAGCTGTCACGGGCTACGCGGATTAATTACTGATAATAAAAGTCAGGGCTGGAACGGTTTTATCTGGAGAATCGATTAAATCGCTCAGCTACGCAGTGTTTTCTCCTTTAATTGAAAAATTAACATCTTTGTGACACCAAGAGAAACTTAAAGGATGTTCGCAAGAGACTTTTTAACGACAAAGACGACTATAGTGAGAAGTTTGTTGTATGTTGTGCGGGACTAGGAGAATTGTGTGCGAGTGACAGTCCGACGGCCGGAACAGTGCGGCGATTCGGGAACCACTGCGTTTGTGGAACCTTTAGGTAAATATGTTGTAATTTGTAAGTAAGATGGATAGTGGGGAAAATGATTAATTAATAAAAATATTTGATTAAATATAGTACTTACAATAACACAAAAACATGTGGGACAATAAGTAAAAAATTTACATTTGTTACTATATATTCATTGAGCTAGTAATCGTAATCTTTTAACACATTGCGTACCGGCTAATTTTCAGAAAACTGAATTGTGCGGGTGGCAATTTTCACTGAGGTCAACTTATATCACTATACATAGAAAAACTCAGATATTATATTGTTATGTAATATATTTTAAATAAATAATCAATTGGAATTAAATTTTATATTTTTTTCAATGCTGTGGTAATTAGCGAAGTTCCATAGCTAAGTGTCTTTATATAAAAATGAGATTTCTCGTTACCAGTATGCAATGTATTAAGAAGCAATGTATAATACTTCGAATTACGAGAGTCTATTGTTCTCGATTTTAGTTTTAACTTTGAAATATTTTTTTAAGAGCTGGGTTCGATAGATGCTGTAACTGTAATTAATACCACTCCGTTGAAATGAATGATTAACTTTTTTGTTTATTTACTAATTTACTTTCAACAAATTCTGATTTTGGCAATCTAAATGATTAAGTCTGATTCTACCTTCGATCTACAATAAGTCATATGCAATAATATTTAATAACATATCCTACGCACCGAATAGTTCCAATAATATTTCTAAAAGCACGTACTCAAAAATTGTTAAACGAAATAAACATTTCCGAATCCTTTCCCTACGAGGCTCAAATTTTATTACATTCTCCGCGATACAATTTCCACTTATACCTCTGTAGTTTCCCTCGATATTCCGGCATCCTCGCGACGCCTTCCTCGCACGAATTTCGTTCCACGAATTTAAATATTCCCGAACATCGCTATTGATCTTTTTACGATATCCACATCCTTTCCCATTCAGCTGTTTCCGCAACGACCTGAATATAGGATAATCCACTGCCGTCAAAGTTTAAAGCAAATACAATATATTTCATAACGCGCCTCTGCCAATGGTTTTTTAACACCTTCCGCTTTAATCAAATAACGAATACACTGTAACGAACATACAACCACAATAGTATATTAAAAATATCTCTTTTCATCGTCTAATATTTTTCAATACACCCTTTCGATAAAAAGCAGAAGCTCCTCGCGTCGAATTACACCCACTATCCTATCGTTATAGTCCATCCCATCTCGAAACGTTCTAACGACAACAATAAAACTCTAAATAAATCCTTTTTATTCTTCGTTGATTATTCGAGGGAAACTACTTCCGTTCAGACCATCAACTTCCTTTTTCATTTTTCACCTGGGTTCGTCCGGGATCCGAGCGCTGATATCATTCTTCTCCATTAATCACGGATCATTTGCCGGATGGTGCCGCGCCGCGCTTTTCGATTCCCGGCACTCGACTTTGTCGCGCGTTTCCGCCCGAAATTCCCGTTCTATTCTTCCTCAACGGCGAAGCACACGGAAGCGGCCGTCCGACGGGCCGAACAAAGACGAAAAATCGTCGCCGCACGAACGAAAGGGAACCGTCGATATTCCACGTGTGTGGGTGCGCAGGTGTGAAAAGAGGGTGAAACGTGGTTCAATTTGAGCCGACGTTCACCTGATAACGCTAACACAGTGTAGAGGAATCGCTGAGGCTTGTTCTTGGTCTCAGGAAAGCTACTTCACAAGTGACTCGACTTCCTTCGATTTCTGTGAAACTTTGATAGGGGTGGCTTTTAGAAAAAGATTTGGTACACGTTTGTTTGAGATCATTCGGGTTGAAGGAATGCAAAAGAAGTGATAAAACAAATGATTGTACCTAGGAAATGTTTTAAATGTGATAAATTGAGTTTTGTGTTGTTATATTGTCTAAACAAAATTTTATTAGGTAATAGTGTCTGTGATATATAATACAATGTAGCTAGATTTTTTTAATTTATCAAAATTGTACTCTACTTGAAATTTCAGTAGAATTATTTATTATATTTCATTAAAACTCGCAGGTTAGTAATAGCTAATAGGAGATTTTGTATTTTCAACTTTCAGATCATTAACTTGTTTCGGTTTTACAGGATTTCTATATTTCAATGGTTGGCAGATTAATAAAGTCTTTAATAGATTCTAGTAGGACACTTGAAAGTCTCGTTTATGATCCAAAGATGGAAAATCATTATTTTCGTGGAGTTTCTCATCTGGTGAGATCTTTTATTTTTCAAATAATTAAATTTCGTGTCAACGACTCAATGGTCTCTTTATTATCGCGCGTTTTTAGAAAACACGAGCTCTTAGATCGCTGTACTGTAGCGAACTTCCTCATAACGGGTTTCCTTATAGCGAGTCCCCTCGTATTAGACTCCACTCTCACGTACAACATGGCGGTGACTGTAATCCGGCAAAATGATTTCCCGTGAAGCGTATAAAAGATGACGTGGTAGCCAAGAATCCACTTGTTTCCACTATTTTAATGTTTAAGTGAAAAGTACTGGAACATAGCTTCCTCACAAACGGATTTTTTTTTAAAACAAACAGAAACGATTTTACTTTCTGTATTAGTTGAAATTTATACTGTTTACCATTCATTACCATCACTTTCTTCGGTAAATCTCTATAATAACAATATTTTATTTGTTACAATAGATTAGGTTTATTTTAATGACATTTATTAAGTTTCATATTTTATTAGATTTCATTAAATATCGTACATCCTCTTTACGAAACGCTTAAAAGATCTAACAAAGTAAAATTGACGTTTCCCTGTGTATCACTTCAATCGTTATGGCTTGCAATGAAATCTGCTTTTCTAGAGAATAGAATAAACCGTACAATATATGTTAAGTGTAAAGCTACCGCTGATTGAATAATATGGAAATGGACGGAAGTAATTATGGAAAAGACAAAGAAGAATAGGTTTCAAATACATATCCGACGCGAGATCATCTAACAGATAAAATTCGAGAATTCGAGATTTTTGTTATCCGGGATCACGCAGTTCTCGTTGTGGAGCACGCGAGGCGCCAGATTGGGTTACACGGAATCAGCTGTTGCGGAAGACCAAACAGGACATTTCCGGGAAAGGGTATTTCCCCAGAAAATACAGAGAAATTGGGGATCGCGAAGAACCATAACGGCATCAATAGGGATACGAGTTACCACCTGAACCCAATTCTATGATAGCTCCGTTCGATTCTTCTATTGTGTCCATTGGCCAATTGAAATCTCTGTTTAGTAGCTATCGATCCGGGATCGAATGGGGTGAACTTTAAAAGTGAACCGTCACGTAACGCGCAACAATACAGCCGTTGTAAAGTCGCCTGCAATGTTAGCAAAGCGCTGGGACAGTTTTTTCCCCAAACGGGCACGGTTTACAAACGAGGACTCCATCAGCGATTCATTGGCAGGACGGTTTACAAAATATTGACGGTTAAAGTTCAACTGTATTCTTTTGCATTCTAAAGCACTCTTGTTGTTTTTATTCTCAAATATGTAACAATTTGTAATACAGTCACAGTGTAAATATAAATCAAACTGGAAAGTAATGATTATAATATGAACGCAATCAAGAATTGCAGATGTATCATATTTGAATATTTTGCTAATATAATATTAAATATTTTATCTGAGAAAGTAAATGTTAGGGTGTAGATTATAGAAAAATGGAAGACAGAAAATGTAGAGATATGGAGTAAAGAGAAGAGAAAACATGGAAAATAATTAATATATTGATGTTGATTGAGAAAAATTCATTGTTCTGTGACGAGTACAATTAAATTTTTGACAATCTCGTGAATCATTGGTCCCTGAAAAAAATGTGTGCTCGACACGACGAGTACTGCAATCTACGAACGTCTCATTAAAAATCAGCTTAACACTCGGTGCGCTCTTCTCGTTAGCCTCTATAGGGATTCGCGAAACGAAACTTCAGTTCCGTGCATTCGGTGCCAGTAGTATAGGTCGACCATTTGTCTGGCTTTATAGGTTTCCAGTAGCAAAGAAAGACGTTCCTTGAAAAGAAGATAGTATTATTGAATTTTCTTGAAGAAATGATGGCATGGAATGAAAACACGCGAATAAAATAGTATATATTTTTTCTAATTGAAAAAACCATTGCTCGATAAAAAAATTTCTATTGTATAATTTACAATAACAACACGATGGAATCACTCGAATCGCAATAAGAACGATGAAAGTTTTTCCATAACGAAAACAAAATAAATTTCGATTCGATCGTTGTGTGTTACAATTTTTTTTTCGAATATTCGAAGTTGAAAACAACACGGATTCCGGTCTAGGAAATTTCGCGACGCGATCCCTTTTTTTAATTGCTGCACCAGGTGCGCGACTCTGTTCCAATATCCTCGCGAAATACGGCCAGGATACGATCTTAATGAAAATTTACCTCGCGCACAAGCTCGCGTGCAATATTTTTTCCTTTAACGAGCACGCGCGTATTTAACGGTTCGCGTTCAACGTCGTGATACCCTGCAAACCGTCGCACAGTGGGAAAATGTCGATGTTTCTGTGGGCAAAAATCAATTTTTCGGTGTTCTTGAAGAAGTGAACTGATTCGTTTCATTGAAAACGAAATACGTACTAATAATAAATATTATAATTTACATATAAAATACTAAATAAATATATGTAACAATAAATGTTAAGGGTGAATCGTGTATAGTACTGTAGCTTGAAAACCTGTAGTCTTTAATTATAATGGGTAATGGTGTATAAGATAATTATCATTTTGTTGTGGAGTTACTAAAGAACACTTCATTGTTTCTAGAAAATCAGCTTATCTTCATTTATTTAATAATAAAGTACTAATATATAAGGTACTAAATAATTATAGGTAATAAGAAATATTAAGAGTTACTAAAAGACACTTTATTGTTACTAGAAAATCAGCTGAACTTCATTTATTGAAACGTTACAATCTTTTGAACAGTGAAACCGTGATTTTGCCCACTGTGCGTTGGCCACGCGTCCGAAAGAGGAAACGAAAAAGGAATTCGGCAGTCATTTTCTTCCCGCATTTCGCTCTCCGATGCATTGACCATCTTGACCGCTCACGAAACCGATTCGCAATTTGAATAAGAAATCGAGCTGGTTCGATTTCGTCTGAAAGTATTCGTTGAACCGTATTTCGGCAATTATAGCGTTCCTCGGAGCGGAAAATACGACGATCTGATAATTTCGAATATAAATACGTTTTGATGTTATCTTTGCTCGATTGAAACACTTATTAACGATTATTAATTAGTGCGTGGTTTGTTGTTTAAAATTAACACACGGAAATGTGAATTCGATATATTATCATTTTTTAACATGCGAATGTAGATCTCTTAATTACCGGTTATTAGAAACTTAGAATTTTCCTTTCTCCAGAAAAATATGAGATATTATAAATAAAATACTATCATATTAAAATCACATTCCTAATTAAATATCTTAATGCTACAATATTATAATATTAAAATCATATAACTAATTAAATATTTCAGTTATAAGATATAATATTAAATTCCAGAAAATATAAAACGTCACATTTCTTTCGATATATTCGGCTTAGTTTTTTATTTTATAAAATTACCTTTTGTTTGGCATTCAGATGTAGTTAATTATGCGTTGTCGCGTGTCTTTAAGCTGATTATAAATTTCGATGATATTTCGTAGATGAAATATGGATGTGACATTACCGTATGTACGATTGCCCGAGGGTTAAAACTGAACCTACGATTTTTCGTGTACTGTGATAATTAACTTGGTACATTCGTTATCGAATTACACGTTTCTTGATTACGATTCTGGTTTGCCGTCGAAGGATCCGGGAATCGGGTCACGGGTCGCTAGGAATTCATGATTTCGGCTGGCTCCGCAGATGAGATATGCGTAGATAGGTTCGTTTTCATAGTTTCACGGATTCGTCCAGATGCTTCACGGGTTTCATAGTTTTCCCGATTTCCTACAGTTTTTACAGCTCGGCGGATTCCCCTCGGCGTTTCGAAATACTCGTCATTTTATCAATTCCTCGCGGTGCTCCTTACCAATAAAATTTTACCAATTTTGGAACGCGTGTTCATAACTTCCATACCTGCGAATTTTACAAACGTTCCTTAACTGCGATTTTTAAACAATTTCCGCGGCTCGATAGAATTTTTTAATTACAAATTTTTCCTTGGACCTCTTTTAAAATGGTTTGAATATTTTCCATCGCTGCGAGCGATAATAAATTATTAACTAAAATTTCCTTGTAGCTTGTTAATTCTAAATTTATAGAAACAAAACCATTGCAATTCGTAGTTTCACGTTTTTTCCATCTGTTGACTCTTACAACTTCTGTAACACGTAAACAGTTTCAAACGTATGTCGCAAACGTTTCAAACTTCGCTTTCGACGATTTGAAAAAGTTTGTTAACCCCTTGTTCTATGATTTATTTCCGAACTATGGTCAGTACAACTACTTTGTCATTAATAATTTATTGAAGAAGAATTCTAGGCATATTCTATGCCTATGTTTGCTCTACAGTACAATGATTGATAACAGAGCAATAACATTTCAAAAGAATTGAATAATATTTATGATTGTTATTATAAGACAAGAGATTGAAATAAAATTCATTTGAAGTAATAATTGTTACTATATCTTTAAAAGTCAGCGATATTCGACGGTAAACATTTTCCTAGTTTATCCGTGGCGAAAACAAAAAGCCGAACGTGTCCTAAACGCGTCGAATCGTTCGTGAAATGGCGGCATTCCTTTCTATCCGTCGCTGATTAACAGCGGGCGACGATTTAATTTTCCATTGTAATTGGGTTCCTTAATGAGATTCAAGACCGTAACGGAATTTATGAATAAATTTTCAGCAGCGAATATCTAGCCGGATCAGCATAATAGGTGTCACGAATGGCTGACAGAGGTGGTTTTCGATGCTTTCATTTCGAAAGCTGAACCGTGCGAGAGGGATCACGATTGAAAATACATTCGGAAAGTCGAGACTCGATGGCGGAGTCAGGTTTCCGATTTCAATAACACGGGCGGGCTTATTTAATCCCGTTCAAATTAATACGTCGAAATTAAGGTTCGATTGAATTATCAGTAAACGGGGGTGGATCGTTACGAACTGAAAAATAGAAATACGTATAATTAAATGGAAGCTGTTGCGAAAGGTTTGCGAAGCAGACAGAATTATAATCGTCCAAATGTGTATCTGTATAAAGTATTCTATACCAATTATTATTAAATTTAATAAATTAATGGAGAATGGTTACGGTACTGATATACGTGCACCAGATTTTAAAAATTTGTGCGAACTTTTAGAGAGAAATTTAAAGGGAACCGAGTTTAATTTGCTTCATAAATGATTTTAATAAACTGAAAATAAAGTGAAATGTTATTAAATATTAATGAAGATTGATTTTCATAAGTATATTGAAGAATTTTATAAGTTTTGTATGCCGTGAAGTTTCACAGCACACGAAAATACGAAAAAAATGGAATAAGAGTATTCTAATTATTTGATTTGTCACTTGTTTACCAAACGAGTTTACTGGGAACTGAATTTTCACCACTCGTTATGTTTGTTTAGTTTTCCAATTCTCTTTGCGTCAACGATCTTTTTGATCACCGACGAGTTTATTTATTTGTAATTCACGTTCCGATGGAATATTGTCGCAGGTTTTCAAGTGCGATCCCGTTTTGTTTTAAATTTTATTTTCCCCGCGATCCGAGTGTAATAATAAAATCACTCCGAACTGGAGATAAAAGATCAGTGAGATCTAAAATATTTATTTACTTCGTCCCATACAAAAAATCATGACACATTAACCAATCACAATAATCCTTCCAATAAATTACGCTTTTTTCCCATAATTACGCAAATAAGTTTGCTTACCTTTAATAAACATAAACAGCACCCATTTAACCTTATGCAATTCAATAAATTTCCCTCATTAATCATAAAACCACATTAATAAATACCAATAAAATCCTTCATTCGCAACAACTCAGCAATTACACTGCAGATGCTATGCACCAGAAAAGTTCAGCCATTTGATCCCCTAAAATCAAATACGATCCCGCTAAAAATATCTCTCTTTCCCTAGAATTCCATTTTCATTGCCAAAACAAGGACTTGAGAAATTTCAGTTTTCTCGAGCGTCCGCGTCGAACAAACAGCTCTTAGTACAATCAGTTCAAAGCCGGGAGGAACGGGCAAACGTTTAGTACCCGCAAACAAACAGAAACGCGGCATTAAGGGGACTGGCTGGTGCAATTTATATAATCAGGCGAACCGACCGGGCTAGGACCGTGGTAACTTTGATCCACCCGATTCCCAGCTCGCTACACAGAAATTCCGCGTTCGCTCGCGTCAAAGCGTCACGCCGCGGTAACCTGAAATCCTCTATTCTTTCCAATTCCAGGCCTGGCACGATGTTCAAAAACCGACGGGTAGCACACAGCCGCTGTTCCCGACATCGTGCACAGACGAAAATTGAACTGACGGGAGCGCCTCCTGGAATTCAGCCAAAGGTAACCCGGTCGGGCGGCCATCTTGTCGGGAACCAGCACGAATCGACGCCGGCGGCCGGCGTACGCTAAACGGCTGCCTTAAAGGCCGGCCCGCCTGCTGCTGCGTGCGCGTTATTTTCCCTCGAAAATGTCTGCAGCCGCGCGCGGAGCTAAGAATCTTTCGCCGAGATCCAGGTCGCGTTTGAAGGAACGCTTTCAGAGGTCGGATTGACTCGGGAACGATCTTTAATTTTCAATGGGCCGCCTGCTCGGGCTGCCGGTGAATCGCGTCGTCGGCGACGCAGGCGGGGAAGAGGGCGAAGATCAGCTCGGATCACGGTAACGAAACTACTGAAGTATCAAAGGGACAGAGGAACAGATACTGAGAGCAACGGATAAGATGGAGTTAAATGAAACGATGGATGCTGATCTCGAGAACACGACGGAGCTGTCGAACATATCGAAAGTGCTGATCGACACGGGACAAAGGAACCAGTCGGATGTCTACGACAATAGCCACGAGTTCGAGCAAGTACTGATGCTGATACTGAAGGCTACGGTAATGGGCTTCATCATCCTCAGCGCGTTGTTCGGCAATCTCCTGGTGATCGTGTCCGTGATGAGGCACCGGAAACTGCGAGTGATCACCAACTATTTCGTGGTCTCTTTGGCGCTGGCCGACATGCTGGTTGCGATCTTCGCGATGACCTTTAACGCCTCGGTCGAGCTGTCCGGCAGGTGGCTCTTCGGTTACTTCATGTGCGACGTGTGGAATTCGTTGGACGTGTTCTTCAGCACGGTCTCCATTCTGCATCTGTGCTGCATCAGCGTGGACCGTTACTACGCGATCGTGCAACCGTTGGACTATCCGCTGATCATGACCAACATAAGGCTGAGCACGATGCTGAGCGTAGTGTGGTGCTCGCCGACGGTGATGAGCTTCGTGCCGATATTCGCCGGATGGTACACCACCGAGGAGCACCTGGAGTACCGCAGGAGCTACCCGGACGTCTGTGTGTTCCAGGTGAACAAACTGTACGCGGTGATCAGCTCTAGTGTTAGCTTCTGGGTGCCCGGGATCATCATGATCGCCATGTACTATAAAATCTATCGGGAGGCCGATCGTCAGGAACGCATGCTGTACCGGTGAGTGCTGTGATGTTTATTACATAGAACTTAATGCTGGATATTTATATTTTAGGCGAATTACAAATTCATTTTAAATTTACGCATTTTCTCGCGATCTGAAGTTAGAGCTAAGTCTTCGAAAGTAATGGCTAATGTTTCAAGGGTTGGAAGGAGAGTGATTTTGTTATCAATTGGATGTTTGATCCATTTTGAAATGGAATGTTAAAGTTGCTACCATTACTCTTGCTAGAGAATATTTTCTCGAAACAATTAAGCAATGTTTACGAAAATATTCACTATTATGTATTATTAACTTATGACTAAGACTTAAAACTACGCATTACCACCTCAAAATCGTATACTTACCTTTAACACTGAAACCACCGAACAGTCAAATTGTATTTTCTAATTTTTCTATAGAAACTCCAGGGGTGCATCTGTCGAGGTTTCCATTGATTTATAACTCGGTTTGTCTATTATTAGAATAATATTTCTATTCATTTTCCAGAGAAGAATCTGTTACCATTCAAATAATTGCGAAAGAAGAACTTAGGAACAAGTCATTTTGATCCATTTGGTAGTTCTAGTGTTAAACTATTCAAATTTCTTCGTTCTCCTTTGAATAAAACGCCCGTAAAAAATGATTTCGATAAAAGTCGATATCAAGTGTCTTTAAGAATCTCCGCTGACGCTAATAGCGCCAGTACAATTTTCTTTAATTCCGAATCTCCCGAACGATCTGCATTCGGCGTAAATGGCTATTCTAGTCGCTGTCTATACGCCAGTAGAATTTTGTTCAGAGGCGAGGCATTGAGCGGTGCCTCGGAATCAGCGCCATTACATTTCATGAATAACCCTCTAATTACTGTATTCCGGTCCGCCATCCCATCAATTATTTAGCCGCGCAATTATGCGGGTGGCTCCAAGCTATATCGAGATTTCAAGTGCGTTCGGACGTCTCTCGGCAAATCGTTTCACGTTCCCGACCGAAATCGAAATCGGTGCTCCCATCTCGGAGAGTATTAGACCCATTACCAGGTTGTTCGTTATGTTCGCTGAATTTCAGATGCACTATTCTTATCGGCAGTTTCACGAGATATGAATTAATATAAATACAAATAAATCAATCTATCCAATAAAAAATCGCGTGATCTTAATTTAACTTGGCAACTGTTCGATTTATTGGAGAACACTTTTTTCCAATATGAAATACTTCATAATGAATTTCATTCAATATTATTCAGTCTATATTAATTGAAAATAAATCGTACTTCTTATTTATGAGTATATCATTTTTAGTTTTACTATAAAATTATTAACGGTGAAGTTATTATTGAAAGTTGAATTGGAAAAGTTGCTACAAGGGATGGAGTTAATTCGATTAAAAAAGGTAAACGTTGTCTTCAAAGTTCCATAACCAAATTCAACGATTTTTTCGGTTAATCCTCATATTTAACTTTAACAGATAAGTAAATAATACGCATGGGGCGAATGGTGTATCAATAAAATTCTCAATAATCGAACGACGAGATGGCTCTGTTTCGATTCGAGATGCTAGAAGGGAAAGATCGTTTCCGTACGCGATAAGTCACTTCCACCGATGACATCGGAAATATCGGCGAAGTAAGTAAGTAGGTACCTCTTTTTTTCGGAGAACTGGGAACTACCGGAAATTGCATGTGTCGGGCGTGCACGGAAATTGTCGTCGTGAAGACAGCTTGCCGAACACAACGTTCTCCGCCGCCGCGGAAGATTAATGTCTTTGGATGTGCAGTCGAACGCTTATGCATCTTGTGAGAGGTATTCGATGCCACGCCATGGAAGATGGCGGAATGAAAATAGTTTGGGGGATACAGAAGGGAATGACATTGTTCCACGAAGATTAAGCCCTCCAGCCCATCGGTGCACTGTAACTTACGTTGCTTTTGTTACCTTGAAGAAATTCAGGAGATCAAGTTATCGATTAAAACTTGAAACAGAAAATTATCTATGAACATAAATAGTATATTAATAAATATTGCTGTTTAAATTATTTAGTAAATAAATATTAATATTTATCTATCCGATAAAGAAATATTAGTGTTTGTCTACGTAGTGATTAAATATTAGCATTTGTCTATCTAATAAATAAATATTAGTGTTTAAACGATTTCCTAGTACACAATTTAAGAAACTTAAATTATTTTACCAACAGTTATTATATTCTTGTCTATATTACATTTTAATATTATGATATTACATTTTTTATATAACAACTTTGAGTTACAACCATGAAATATACAATACACATACACAACAACAAAATATTTTTATCGAATTGAACAAAATTCGGGATTGAAATAATTCAAAAAAAAGGTTTCTCGATTAAGCTTCAATTAAATGATCCTTTAGTCGTGATGCGAACTTCTTTTTGGAAGCACGCGATTCGATGTTAAAAAATAGGATTGGTTGGAAACGGTGAACGATCAATTCCTACCTTTTTTTGTCCATCGCGAGAGGAGCAGTGTTCGCGGACTCTCTTTAACGAGCTATACCGCGTTGGGACGTGAAACACGGTATAAAAGTAAAAAATTGTAATTAACTGGAGGGAGCCGAACAACTGCCGTGACGTTCACTTCTCGGAACGTTTACTGCATTCGTTCGGCGTCGTAGCAACAATTCACAGTTCCATTTACCACTTCTGGATCGCGTGGAATAAGACACGAAAGAGGAAAAAGTAGTCGTGCATTGTCTCGTGAACGTCTCGTTGGTCAATTCTTCTTGTATTGCCGGTAAATTAGGGAGCAATTGAGGGAGCAATAGTTTGGATCTATATAAAAGATCCCGCAACAGTTTTTAGATAATAAATTTATAGAGAATAAATACATGGATAGTAAAAATATAGAAAATAAATATGCGAATAATAGAAATGTAGAAAAGAAATGTATAAATAATAAAAATATAGAAAATAAATATATAGACAATGGGAATATAGGAAATAAATATGTAAATAATAAATGTGTAAATACTAAATGTATAATTTTTATTATATTCGTATATTAAGGCGCTTTCGATTTTCATAAAAAATAGAACACCGTAAAATAACTTTCCAATTTTAACAAGAAAAAGCCGTTACCAAGAAGTAATTACAATTTTGTAATTAAACTCGTCTATCTATGTCGATAGACAATTAGGAATTCATTATTCAGAGTAACGAATGCAAATTCCAAGTTCTCGAATGTAAATTCGAAATAGTCGACTGCATTTAACGAATGCAACTGTGTGCGTTACCGCAACTACGCGAAACCGTTCGTTTTCGTATAACGAAACGACTTCCTTGGCCAGAAAACAGTCTTTTTTCCAGCAATTCATCACCAGAACGTTTACGGTCTTTCTCCCCGCAATTCATCATTCATACGCTTAACTTCACGACTATAGCGTTCCGCAGTTATTGTTTCACTCGGTCGAAACAACTTACAATGAAAGTTTTTCACGATTTCATTATTCTTCTTCCATGAGAACTTTTCGCTACGCAATGAACGCGTTAACTGCCATGGTCATTGATTATCGACGTTCCTGAATTGTTTGAAAACAATTGCAATATGTAACATGATTAACCCGTTGCGGTAAAATGACCCGCTCGTCATTAGTTTTTCATGCCAAATCGTACAATGACGAGGTACACTCGTCATGCGAATAAGGTTATATGTAACATGCTTTTACATGCACAGTATTTATACAGTTTCTAATTGAGAATAAATTGGCATAGTAATTAATAGTGCCTTGCTAGTCTGATTGTGGACATTGGTTAATAATATACTTTTAATTAACAAAATTCACGAATCACGAAATGAAACGTGTTGTTTTCTTGAATAAAAATAAAATGCTTCTTTAAGGAACAATTTTTCACGAATAAATAGTACCGCAAAGGTTAATGTTGAATAAAGATATTTAATAACGTAAGTAAATTGACAACGGTGTAATATAAGGATTATGATACTACGTTCTTTGCTACGAAAGAACAAGTGTTATGTTAATCCTTTGAATTCGTATGAATTTTATATAGTAGTATTATGCTGGTCAGAATTCACTTCTATGAAGTAAATGTCATTATAAACAGTAAATGAAATTCATTATTTTCTTGAAACTTCGAACGAATTTATAAATAATAGAGTTTTATTTAACATACATAATACATTTTACTTCACTGGAATGGTAAAAGGGCATTGGTTGCTGAGAACAAACACGCGACCGCAAAGGGTTGAAACGCTCAAGATTTTCGTGGCAGCTGACGTATTAATGTAAAAATAATTAATTATACGTATACATTCATTTATTTGTTATATAAACCTTATTTTTTGGGTAACCATGCAGGTCAATGCCTCAAAGGGAGGCATACAGGCCAGTTTTCGTCTGAATATAAGCAGGCCTCAGATAAGACGAGACATTGACGCAACCGGCAAAAATATCTTTTCTTAACGCAAAAAAAGACAAAAATAAATTAAAAGTTGAAAAAGAATATTTTATTTCCAATATTAATATGAGATCTATTTTATATCTTGGAAAATATATTTCCTCGTTGTATGAAATAAATATTTGATAGATATTTGAAAAGAAATATTTCTTTCAAAATCTAAAATACATATTTGATATATATTTAAATATTAAACAGAAATAAAATGTCGTTTTAATATTAGATACACGTGTATTCAATATTTTGAGCTACTAGGGTAATATCTTCACTAGTTTATCATTCATCTTTGATTCCTTATGATTACGGTCTCCATGGTATTCGTTTCGCGTCTCCAAATAAACAAATATTTATTAAAGCTACAATCGAACAGAAATTTGTTTCTTCTTACGATCTCCGCCAATCTCATTAAATGTAATTACACTTTCCAACTGTATCAACAGCATTATAACGGAACAACGCAAACAACATCTGCGACAACGATCGGACGAAAGTTGATTTTAATAATAAAGCCTTACTTTCAACGATTCCCCGATGGCATCGCAATGTTAAAGGTATTTTAAATACC